GCAACTTGGAGGCACTTCAGAGAGACATTGTTCAAAAAGGGTTTGGGGCCGGGGCAGGTCAAAAGCATATTGCAGCAGCACGGCAGTCTGCATGTTTCTTTGCAGGTTTGGTCTGCATGTTTGCATTTGGTGCTCGAGTTGGGCAGCCGGCTATCACTCATGGCATAATGTGGTGGAGGTCTGAGTGATCGGTAACATGATAGCTTGTTAGTCCATATGTAGTTATATTATGATGTACTCCAAAGTCTTTTCCGAATTTACTAATCAAGGATCCTACATAGTAAGCGGAAGATTCTGTCATTTTCCCTGCGCAGAATGCCACGACACCATTCAGAAGCCTCAGTGACAAGAGTTCAAGTTGCTTTGTGATTCTTACCGTAGAAAGCCATGGACCCGGAATGCGACGAGAAGCAGTTTTTAACACAGCTGAACGATGGCCAGGTGGTGCGACTCGTCAGTTCTACCTCAGCGAAGCTTACACCTCTGGAGCCCTACATTTTCCGAGCCTACCGCGCCTCGGCGCAGCAGCTGAGGAAGCTGGAGCTGGAACCGGATCTTGAGGCTTACAGCTTCGAAGTCGTGGATGAGGGAGTCCCTGCACTTGGCATGAGCCCACAGCCTGAAAGCTGCCTCAGAATCCTACCTAACCGCTCGGTGGACTTCAAAGGAGGCCGTGGAAAATGGGCCACCTTCGTTATAGCAGCACGCGACGCTGCAGGGGTCGCGCTACGCTCGGTCGGCCACGGCATCGAGAAGCCGGCTTCTGGGCTCTAAAGGGATCTGTAGTAAATAAAACGGTTTCTTTATTAGGGCCACTCAAAGTAAATCCCTTAACAAGAACCCAGGCTTTTCTTGCTGCCAGCTCCAGCGGCTTCGTAGCCGGAGCATCGGTTCAAGACCCAGCCAGCCGTTGGCTCTTCCAGGCGCATGTGAACAGGATGAAAAGGCCTTTCCAAGATTTCGAGTTCAGTGCTGAGCAGTATGATGCCTTTGCAAGGGACGGCTTTGTGATTCTGAAGGGTGCCGTGGAAAGCGACGGTGTCCAGGCTGCACTGCGGTCTATCAACCACTTGCTCGGCAAGGGCCCTGAAGCGTGGATGGTGGACACCGATGCGCCGACAGAACCCGGAGAGGCACCGAAGAGGAAGCTGCCGACCAGCAGCCACCCATCCATCGAGGCTCTCGTCACTCGCACTTGCCTTAGCGTTGCCGTGGAGCGCCTTTTGGGCGGTGTTCCCGCCCCACCTGGTGCAGGAAATCTTGCTGTGCGCTTCCCAGTCGTCGATCGGCTCGAGATGAGTGGGGGAAGCCTCACGGATGCAGCCAAGCGCGTGGTTGAGCGGGATGACAGCACACAACAATTTCACATCGACGGCATGGGCAAGGAGTCACCTTTGCCCTTCAGTGTCCTTTGCAAGGTCGCCCTTTCGGACCAGACTGAAGAGCATTCTGGGAATTTCACGGTGTTTCCTGGGTCCCATCGGAACTCCGATGTCGTCCGCTGGTACTTCGCGCACCTCTCAACCGCGACATCACCGAAGCCGTCGAGGCCGGAAGTGGGCTCGCCATTGCAGCTGCGGCTCGCGCCCGGAGATGTGGTCCTGGCGCATCCCTATTTGTGCCATCGCGTGGGAACCAACACATCTCCCCACATCCGGTATAGTGTGATCTTCCGATTTCGCTCAAAAGATTTCGCTGAACACGCTGCGAAGCGCGAGGCCCTGTTGCAGAACCCCATGTTGGAATTTCCCTGGTTTAAAGCATGCGAACCAGGTCCTGCAGCTCATACGGGAGCCTGATGAGTTAGTATGCTATTCCTTAGAGTTCCTACGCTGCTGTGTCATAATTCTGCAATAGCAGACCCCGACACCGTAGTTCGATATCAAGACCGGCTGTGTTACTTCGCCTGCCGAAGAGGCGGCCTAAAGTGCACAGAGGGTTCAGCCGACTCGATCTTGAAAAGGGGAATTGCGGTCTCTTTGTGGGAAACTTCCTTTGCAAAGGATAGCGGTCAGCATTCTACTAGGTTTACTAAAGCAAGGTTACTGAGTTACTGCAATGGGGTTGACATGAGTAGATGGACCCCTCGTACGTGCTGTGTGCTGTTGGGATATCCTGAAATATGAATCACACCCCTCAGAAGGACGGAGTAGTCCTTCAACAGCAGCCGGTAGCCGCCCCAGACTATTTCACGAAACTCACTCGAAGAGCCATCTGAGTTCAGCAAGGTTTCAGGTTTTGGAACCAGGGCGTTTGGGACTGTTTGGGAGTGTGCTTTCGGGATCAGAAGCATTCTCCAGAGGGAACTCGGGATTGTGCTTCATGAAGGTTGAGGAACCTGATTCTGCCATCTTTCTGGATTAGTGTTTTTTTTGTTACGGGGTTTCGGATGGTTCGGTGTCCTAGGGCTGAAGGTTTTGTAGGGTTTGAGCGTCGTCGATATGCAGGTGGAGCGAGACCAAGAGCAGAGGGCACAGGCCAGCGCGCAAGTAGCGCCGCGATCTGAGGTAGCATTATGTGTTTGGGGTCTAGGGTTTAGGGTGTTTCCAATGTCACGCAGCAAGGTGCTTAACAGGCAAGTGTGGGAAGTTTGCATCGTAGGTGGTGGGGCTCGACATTTTCAATCGCTGTGTAGTATGCCTGCGCATTGAGTACGACTCAGGTACACAGTGTCACTAGAAGAGGCTGTGTTTCAATTGCATGACATTCGACTACTTGCCGGACAATGGTTTTCATTTTTAACATGTCAGAAGCTCCGAAGGGAAAGGTTGAGAATAAGGGGTCCTTGAGGGCCGGACTCTGCTGACATGGATTTGGAACTGTCTGCCCTTGGATTGATATCGCACCTACAATAACTGATGCATTAACGGTGAACTACATTGTGGCCAAGATGTGCATCAATAACCTGTTCTGAATCTGGGACATTCCTATAAGTCACTCAGTAAAGACCACATTTTGCCCTGAGCTTTCGAAGTTTTGAGGTCCTAAACTAGAGCCCTGTTTTGTAAGCCTCCCTCGCGAAGTTTCTTCGCTTTGCTTCGATTCAGGGGTTCGTATATAAAGCAGACAAAACGCCTTTGAAGTAAGGCCGGGCACCACCCGCTATGCTGCTTGGCAGCGGCGGGGGGACACTGCAGCCCTTGGAGAGAGGCACATCGGGAATTGGGAGAGTCACACGAGAAACCCCCAGCCTCAAAACCATCCTCACGTGCCATAGCCCTGCGAGTCTTGATTTGGATCTTGAGCAGTGGTAGTAGTCGTACTTCTTGATATTGATGCCTTTGCTATGCGTTGTTGCTGCTGTTGTACCTGCTACCTTCTGTTTATGTTAATTGCTGACCAAATGCAGCTGTAATTGACATATTATGGTTCTGAGCAGGACGAGCCGAGAGATTTGGCCTGAGCCTGTTGACGGCTATGTTTCGTTCGAACGACTAGTTAGTACCCTTGTTCCCCGAATCATGTAACTGTGCTGGGGGCTTGCTTTGCAATTGTTTGACTAGTTTGCGTAACATGATGAATAATTCACCTGTTTGTCGCTATCTTCCATCTTCCGCACCGTTGCAGGTGCCATTGCCACACTAGAAGTCCCTGTGCCCTAAACGGAAACCTTAATCCCTAAACCCTAAGCACTAAACCTTCTTCCTCAACCCTAATCCCTACACCCTGAACCCTACACCCTAAACCCTATAATCCCTAAACCCTGAACCCTAAACCCTGAACCCTGAACTCTAAACCCTAAACCCTACGCCCTAATCCCTAAACCCCATCCCTAAACCCCAAACCAGCAGGCCTCCAGTCCAAGCTCCCCGCCGCAGCCTAATTCCCCAACGTGCCTTGCGTCAGTGTTCCCAGCCCAAAACTAGTTTGTAGGGTTTAGGGTTTAGGAATTCCTACGCGTCCAAGTTAGGTTTGGAAGCTCGAACACCCCGACACCTTCTAACCCACGAACCTTCCTGTCAGCCTAGCCAGAGTCGTAAGTTGAGGGGAACGGATACTCTTGCAAGGCTCCACAATGACGCCGCCAAAAGGGCCTTGAAGATGCGTCATTTGCAGGTGCGTTTTGGGGCTTGTCCTGGGAGGAGAGCGAAGGAGACGAGACACAGAGGGAGAAACAGAGATGTGTTTATTTGAACGTGTTCTTTGGTTGCACAGACCTATGCACGGAGATCTGGACATATTCACTGTCGAGAGCAAGGAACAGACAGACGGACCCACAGAGAGAGAGGGGAGAGAGAGAGAGAGGCAGAGGCAGGACGAGAGCGAGCGTGCGCGCGGGAACCCTCAAATCCTCCACTTGGAGTTCCGACTTCATGGGGTATTCTCTACCCATAGGCCCCTAAGTAGTTCCTTTTTGGGATTACCTTATAGGATTCTAAAGATAAACCGTAAAAGGAACTACTTAGGGGCCTATGGGTAGTACGGGGATTGGAGTTGATATGAGCTGCTGTCAAAGCCGGTTCAGGTGTTTGGGGCGACCGAATTGCTTTGTGATCAGGCGCCCAAGCCCATATAGCCCAGTCTGCAACACCTAGGTTGAACCCGCAGGACGTAAACCTAAATCTGCTACTGAGGGTTGTTGTTTAGTTTTGGAGTTGGATTCCCTTGGGCGCAAAGTTGGAGAAGCTTTCGACGCAAGTAATGTAGACATGGCAAGTGCTGAGTCTGGTGTAGTGTGACACTTGGGTTGCATCTGAACCCGAAGCTTATCATCCATGGCCAAACCAAAGCGGAGCATTATGAGGGCTTGATAGGGCGATTCGAAAAATGGGTCAAATCATGGGCGGCAGCACCTCCGCGAACACAGATGTACCGGGAGTCGAAGACAGTGACGCTTGGCCCAGATACCCGGAAGGCGAGAGAAACCATTCAGATCCCCAAGATCTTCAGCTGTTCCCGATACGGATCTACACGCCGTCCGGTGATGTGCTTTTAGAGCAAAAGCTGCCTGGAGGCAGAACTGTGCGGTCTATTTTGCAGACCCTCCGCACGGAAAAGCGTGGCAGACTCTCGCTGCTGCAAGGCACCGAGGTAATCCCACAAGGCAAGAAGCTATCGCAGCTGAACCTCGCCGAAGATGAGGGCTTATGCCTGGTCAGAAGAGCCACAGGCAACTACACTCTCTGGGAAGACAACGTTTATGCGGAACATCATTTGGTAAAGTGTCTTCTGGTTGGAGCAGCAAAAACCGGCAAGTCTACGTGGATGCTGGCCTTCGGCCGACATAGCTCTACCTCTCAGTATCAGCCGACCATCGGCGTAGAGTTTAAACTCTTGCGCCTTCAGTCTGAGGATGGGCTGCGGATGAAAATACAGCTCTGGGACACTGCTGGGCAGCAACGCTTTCGGACAATCACAAATGCCTACTACAGAGGGGCCTCGGGAATCATGGCGTTCTTCTCACTGCACAGTCGTGAGTCCCTGACCGAAGTCCTTCGAATGTTGGAGGAAGCAGAGGGGAGGCATCCTCTTTCCTGCCGATGCGTGTGTTTGGTCGGGACCCATGTAGACATTCCAGATCCTTAGTTCTCCAATACCCAACCTTTAAACTTTTGGAGTTCCTATAATTTAGTAATAGTCATAGTCTGAAAGGTTTAACATGTTATTTCCCTGGCTTGTTGGGGAAGTAAGGATCCTGAAGTGACACAAGAGGAGGCCGAGCAGCTTGCGCAACAGAAGGGCTGGCCCTTTTTTGCAACCTCGAGCAAATCTGGAGTCAACGTTGATGACCCTCTTTTCGGTTGGCTGGACATGCTTCTGGACGAAAGGCTTCGCCGATAAGAACTAAAAAGGCCGTCCTTAACAAACCTAAGAGAAGCTTTTCGCGCACTGGCAGCAGACCTCCGCGGACTTGTCTGGGTGTCACACTTCCGGTGGCGCGCCGCAATACCGGCGCAGGCTGCTCGCGCAAGCTTTTCGGACGAAAAGCAGAGTTTTGGGGTGGCTTGAGGGTTCAGAACATCCAAACCGACATACTAGTTGCTAGTAGTGCTTTGATCGTAGCCATTACTTGGAGCACAGAGGGCGACTTGGCAAGCAGACTAGCCAATCTGCGCTGCAAAACATGTGGGCCAATTTCCGGGGTCCTATGATAAATCCTTCCCTTCAGGGTTCGATCTTCGAAATTAGAGGCACTTTTCGTGGGGTGGTTTGAACAGAGATCTTAATGTTTAGATGATTTACATGTATTTTCCTGAAACTGCCGCCTGAGTTGCCAAGTCCACCATGCTCCCTTTCAAGTCAGCTACAGACAGTAAGTATTTTATGATGTATGTGGTGTCACCCTGTATGGTCCCTACATAGTCAATCTTACTGTCATGATGACTATGTTCTGACCATTATGATACTTATAATATGGTTCTTATTTTTTGATAATATAGGTTTAGTTTTGACATTATCATCAACAGAAGTAGTTTTATTTCTGGCACTATTGGCATGATTGGTATGATGTTGATGGTGTTTACTATTATTCGTATTTACCATTGTTCTCACTAGTAGCCAAGCAGACGGTACAACAGGCAGGCAGGCTGACGGAATCACGTGTTGCCCGTCTAGTCCAGCCCAGTCCAGTCCAGTCCAGTCCATCCCAGTGCGCCTCAGTCACTCTAGCCCACCACCCCCACTCCAGTCCACTCCGACGAGTCAGTTAGTCAGTCAGTCACACTCATGCAGGCACACTCACGAGCGCGCTCGCACGCATGCACGCACGGCGCCGCAGTCACTCCACTCACACTCATTGCTCAGCACCTAACCAAGGAACGAGATCTAGAGTACTGGATTAGCCAGCGCAGTGTTGCTCGTTGGGATGATGGTTGTTAATTAGTGATGTTGGCCCGCCAGTTGCCTGTTTAACCAAAGCTGCTTCAATGCTGTTCAATCCGTTGAAGGCAGACACTAAAGCTTCAGCGCTGAGCTTGCAAGCTAGTATCCCCTTTTAGTGCCTATTTCGTTCCGTATGTTATACCTGAGCACCCCAGTCTAATCGTTAAGGTGCAACTATGATGTTTCCAGTACGTTATTAGTCATCCGAATTCAGTCTTGGTTGTAACCCCACTTAACTTAGCATCGTCCATGAGCCTCAGATTATAGGGCCTGCCCTAAACTCTTAGGTGTGAATTCTGAGCCACAACCCGGTAGGCCCTACCAACCCTAACACCTATCAACCCCATAGGCTTGAAAAGCATAGTCAGCAACCCTTGCAGCCCTACCCCCTAAACCTTGATACATCCTTTTCCTGAAAAGCCATGACAAGGAGATGGTGGAGGAGGAACGAAGGTTGCAAGAGCAGCAAGAAGCCACGCCGGGACCTCAAAAGCGAGATGGATGCTCAAGGAGCCTAGGGCAACTTTATTGGGGTGAGGGTTATCCCCCCCTTGGTTGAACCCTGAACGCCTTAACTATATAAATCCCAAGTCTTATCCCAACCCTAAACCCTAGTCTCGAGTTGCCGCGCTTCAGGCGTATCGCGCTGCGACTGTTGCGTGCATTTTGTGGGTTTAGCATATGGATTGTTGGGGTTTGGAGTTTAGTATGTTATGCTCTGAGCCCTTATTATGTCATGCCCTGAACCTTACAGCAAGTTGTATTCCGAGAGTCTGTAGGAGTAGGAGGGCGTTATGTCCTACGTCGACCTCCCGGCACCTGAAATCCGCCAGCCTAAACAGGCTCTACAGTAGAAGAAGCCCAAAAGTTGGAAACCCAATTCCATCCTTAAATGTAGAGGGAATCCCAGCACTAGTTGTGCTTAGTCCAGTCTCCAACTTTTTCGGGGTTGACCATAAACACAACCCACTCAGTTCGGGCTCAGGATCCCAAAAAGGTACAGGGGAGCAACTCTCTCAAAGTTCGCATAACGGCGGGCAGGGGAGTAGAAAGATGGAGGCCCCTCATTCTTCAGGGAACCTCCCCCCCCATATTTTCTGAGACTCCTAAAAGACGAATGACAATAAGTCCCACTTGCCGAAGACCAGAAAAAGCATCCGAGACAAGGTTCCGCCCGGCTATCGAGGCCCACGAGAGACTTGAAGGTTGAAGCGTCAGGGCTAGGGTTCACAGAAAGTTTAGGGCCTATAGGGGCCAGGGTTCAAGGGGGGTTTAGGGGTTTAGGGCCTAGGGGCCAGGGTTCAAAGGGGGTTTAGGGTTTAGGTTTAGGATTTAGGGGCTAGGGTTCAATGGGGGTTTAGGGTTTAGGGGCTAGGGTTCCAAGGGGGTTTAGGGTCTAGGGGCTAGGTTTAGGATTTAGGGGCTAGGGTTCAAGGGGGGTTTGGGTCTAGGGGCTAGGGTTGAAAGGGCTACAAGAATTCCACTGATCCCTGCACCCTGAAACCTGCATACCTCGCCCCTGTGGCGCAACTTCAGTAAGTACCATGGAGTCCTTTCTCAATTTGTTTGATTTGTGTAGTGCTGTTGATGTTCTCGGCTTGGGACTCTGCTCAGCCACCCCCGCTCCTATAGCCCTAAGAGTCTAAGAGAATGGCAAACCCCATCCTCACAAGGTTTGGGTGTATAGATCCATGCAAGTTTCTATGTTTCAACCATGCAAATAGGTATTTACCAGGTGACCTCCGGAGCGCGATAGTTCCGATAGATACAAACTTTGGCGGAGGTTCATGTGATCCTGTTTTGTGCTGCACTTTGGAAGAGACGCTTCTTAGCAGAGCAGATGTGAGGAGCTGACGGTGGTTCGAGATAAGCGTCGTGTTGAGGGTCCCCGAAGAATGACCGTCTGCAGGCTGAGGTATCTTCGAGGATACCCTACTAGTATAGAAATCAACATCCTGCAGCTCGTCGTTGTCGTCGAGTAGGCAAGCGTTAGTCGTTTCGGGGCTAGACCTCAAACCCCTGAAGCCCTAACTCCCCACAAACCCAAAACCCTTAAACTCCTTAAACCCTGGCACCAATCTCTACACCCCAACCTAGATCCCCAGGCAACTCCCCGAACACGCTAGGCCTCACAGCGCAGATGCCAAGGAACATCCAGGCTCGCAGCAGTTGGGCCTGAAGTTTCTGAAAGCTACTGGTTACTTGGCTCCTTCTTCGGAGCTTCTCAGAGCGTTCTATAGCGGTGTTACAAAGCTTTCCTAGAAGCTAGGGATACCGTGTTCAGGGGTTCCCATATTCAGAATCCTACTAGTTTGGGTTTGCCCCTATTGTGAGCTCTTGTTTGCTGAGTCTCCGACGTACCACATGCAAAGGATTGGAGTTTAGGGTTTAGGGAAACCCTAAACCCTAAACCCTAATCTTGGAGTTTGGGCATGCAGACAGTGTGCACACTCCATGTCCGGTGCCTTAAACCCTCAACCGGCAGGTCTCTTCAAGACCCAGAGGGCCTGAAGAAGAGGAGCCGCGCTCCTCTGACTCAAGCCAAAAATTCCTCGTATGAGGATCGCTCGCAAAAGGTAGCAGTAGTAGCTAGTGATAGCAGCTAGTGTATCCTGAGAGCTCCTTAAGAAATCTGTATTTTTCCCGACCCAAAAACCGTACTCTAACACCCTATAGACCTTAAACCAGAACTCTAAACCCCAAACCTTATAACCCCAGAAGCCCGATGAAGGCCCTTCTTCCATCTCTGGAGCCTCCTTGGTTGCGAGTTTAGGGTTCCAAAGCTTAGCATGCAGAAGATGGCTAACATAGGGGTCTAAATAGTTAGAACAGGGTTTCGGGGTGCATGATGATACAATCATACGGGGGAGAAAGGGATATTAGTTCGTCCGACCCTATTATGCTTTGTCGCCGACCGCCGTGCAGTTAAGATCGGCTGCTGGATGACCTGGGTTTGAACTTCCCTGCATTGAATGACAGTTACATTTAGAGTTTCCCTAGGATTGAGCTTTGTGCACAAAATGCGAGATGTTTTTGGGGCAGTACCTGAAGTACGTCACAACAATACCGACAAGTTCGACCGTGGCAGGCCGAACTTCGATTTTGTGATCGATTTGTCGCACGATGGACACCTCTAGTATGAGCTGTCACAGTTTTCGCAATGTTGAATTCACCCGTGCCTGCGAAAGACTGATCTGCAAGCCGAACAGCGTGTAGTGTAGTTCGCCTGGGGTGTCCGAAGCCCCCCACAGGCCAGTTCACCATTCCGAATCTTATTCGTTGCCAGCCGCTCAAAGGTTTGGCAGATCTTGTTCAGCATCTTTTGATTCCTAATGCACTTCTGGAGAAGACCCAGGCCCTGCCCTTCGCCTCCACCCTATGGTTTCAAGTTTCAACCCTACCTACCCTAAACCGCCACAACTTTCAGTCATTGAAGCAGCGTGCCCGAAATCTCCGCAAAGCTCCTAAAGTTCTAAGCCCTATAAACCCCTCCTCCGCAGGATGAAGATGCAGAGGTTGCGCAATATGCAAGAGAAGGCGGAGCTTGATGGCCCGGGCCCCATCTTGCATCCCGTGGGGTTTACTTTAAATGGGGTTTCAGGGTTTAGGGTTTCAGGGTTTAGGGTTTAGGGTTTCAGGGTTTAGGGGTCTAAAAAAGATTCAGTGTTCAGGAGCTGCCAGGTCGGCAGCAGAGTCGGCAATGCCACCACCGAACCGCTGAACCACACAGAGCTGTCAGACTTTGTTTGGACCGGACGACTATCAGATGGGGAATCGTAAACCCTACATCATAAAGGGACCTGGGTTTTTTGGGAGAAAAGGGTTACCAGAGACGACGAAGATGCCGCTGTTGAATATCCGAAACCTTAAACCCTGAACCCACGCACAAATCGCGAAGTGTGCCGACACCCCCTAGGGTACTTCTCTAAAATAAGGTCCCTTTTTCCCCAACATAGTACGACACCCCTACAAAAAAGACCCTACAAGGGACCCTAACTTAGAGAGCTACCCCATTCTTGAAACTTCGAATATCCGTCTTGGGAGCTTCCAGGCCCTTCCTTTTTGTCAGGATCCTACGTCTTTCGTTCTATGTCAGGGCCTAATCCAAGCCGTGGTTTAGGGTTGTCCCGGCAAGACTGCAAGAGGCCTGGATGCAAAAAAGTGGCTTAGAGTTTTAGGGTTTAGGGTTTAGCCTTAGGCTTTGATAAAGTAAAAGAGTGGCTTAGAGTTTTAGGGTTTAGGGCTTAGCCTTAGGCTTTGATAAAGTCAAAAGGTGGCTTAGAGTTTTAGGGTTTAGGGTTTAGCCTTAGGCGTTGATAAAGTAAAAAAGTGGCTTAGAGATTTAGGGTTTAGCCTTAGGCTTTGATAAAGTTCGAGCGCTTTCAAATGAGCCAGGAGCTCTTTGTCCTAGCTGTGCAAAGCCTGAAGCCCCAAGCCCTAAATCCCGACAAACGAAGCCCCTGGAGAACCACACAGTCGCTGTAGAGCTACGGAGTTTTTTGCAACTCTTTCTACAAACCGTCCAAAACTCTAGAACTGGGGCCTAATCGAAGAGTTTCGAAGGGTTACTGTTGTGTAACTGTAACTTTTGTTCAGCCCTATCAACCTACTAAGCCCGAAGCCCTACACCCTAAACTCCTTAAATAAATGAAACCCCAAATCTGAACCCTACTAAACCCTGTTCAGAAAGGCTGCACCTTCAAGCCGGAGATAGACCAAAAGTCCGAAGAGCTGATCAGCCAGCGTCTGGCGCGGCTGAAGATCACAGGGACCCTGTGCCCCAAGGGCTGGGGATTGAGGGTTTAGGGAACGACGGCTGAAACTTCGAGGTGAGGCGGGCATAAGGCTTAATAAGGGCATGGGCAGCAGAGACCCTCCTCAAAAGGGTATGGAAAGAGTTCCAGTTTCGGGCTAAGGGGTTTAGGGTTTGCGGTATCTGAAATTTCAGAGATTTCGGCTTCGAGGTGTGGTGGTCAAGGTTTCAGTAGGGTTTAGCAGCAGGGCGTGAGAGGTGAGGAGGTGCTGTCATCAGATCAAGACTTGCAAAGCCTGGGATCCCGAAATAATATTAAGACTGGAGGTTTCGGGCTTGCAGGTTCAGAGTGTGCGCTTGTAGACCCCGAAAGTCGAAATCCTAAATCCCTGAAGGTCTGAGGCTTTTCAGTGCTTCCTTACTCTTTGGTCACTATGTTGCTTATGTTGCACGCCATGTGGCGTAATATTCGCCGCTGCAGTGGCGCAAGGACGCACTAGAACCCTCTACAAGCATAGCCTATACGACGGTGACTTCGGCTTTTGTGACTGTTTGGGAACCTGTGTACGAAGTTGAGAGTGCAGGAATGAGGCATATCATTTCCTGAGTACTGAGGACCCAGAGAGCCCAATACCCCTTAATTAAGGAATATACCTTAAACCATATATTAAGGCCCCTATAGTTTAAGGTATATTCCTTTATTTAGGGGTATTGAGCTCTCTGAGGATGCCCTGCCCTGAGAGGTACGACTCCCTCTATGAGGATGCCATTCGAAGACGCGAGCGGCAGCTGGAGTCCCTGCGGGCCTGGGGCCTACGAGGGCTATAGCCGGGCCTTAAGTGCTTTGGGCTCGAAGGGTTTAGGGTTTAGGGTCTATTTGGGCAGCTTTTTGGGCTCGTAGGGTGTAGGGTTTAGGGTTTAGCGTTTATTTGGGGCAGCTTGCATCCCCAGAGAGGCAGAAGGCAGATCCGGCGTTGGAGTGACACGCGCCGAGAGAGGTATGCAGCAGGTGTAAAGGAAAGAGTAGATGTAAACATATAAAAGACAGGAAGTGCATGAAGGCTGCAACAGTGCTCGGTTCGCAGTTTCTGTGATGCATAAAGAAGCAGACTATACATGTGTCCGTATGTATATATCTATATATATATATGTATATATATAGTATGTATTTTTGTATGTATATGTATATGTATATGTATATGTATATGTAATTGTAATTTTAATTGTATATGTACATGTATTTCCTATCGACATATGCACACACACATACATACATACATACATACATACATACATACATACATCTACATCTACATCTACATCTACATCTACATCTACATCTACATCTACATGTACATCTACATGCACATGTACATGTACATATACATATACACAGCCGTTTCTTGTACATGCATACAACCACCTGCGTCACAAGGCTCGAGTCTGGTGGCATTTAGCTAGTTCGTTTAATTCAAGCATGCCATAGCAGAAGAAGTTGAGCATCTTTTGCACGAAGTAGTGTGGTAATTTTGGGCTTCTGTGGCAGCATCTACGTTTTAGTCGTGTGCAAACCTGTAGAAGGATTTCTTCTTGACATGCAGAAGCAAGGTTTTTTTCACAAACGATGGGTCAGTAGAGTATGGAACTGTAAATGTGCACGCACACACTTACACACCGAAACACGCAAGCAGACACGTCTGCATGTTATGTATGTATGTATTTATGTATGTATGTATGTATGTATTTATGTATGTACGTGCCCGCAGAAACACTACTACACGCTTATGTATGTATGTATATATATATATACGTATATACATATATACATATATACATATATACATATATACATATATACATATATACATATATACATATATATACATATACATATAATACATACACACATATATGGAAAGGAGTTGTGAAGTTGTGAAGATGTTTGACCGCGTTGCCGCTAGATGTGTCTTCCCCCCTACCAGCTTGCAGGCTCTGCCTCCTGGCGTGACGTTCCAGCCCGACATCGGCATGGACGGGCCCTGGGCATCACAGGTGTTTTAGTTGCCTTTGTAGACTCCAGACGTTGTCAGTGTTCCTTGGGTTCTGCCAGCTTTGTTACCTTTGTTGCTCGCGGCACCTTGCTCAAGTTTGGAACTGGGGCGGGGCTTAGGGTGCCGAGCAACACAGAGGTGTGGCCTGTGTCCTGCCATCTCACACAGTCCCAGAGTCAAGAACGTGCCGATAGATCTCTTTTAGAGGTCCAGCATCTCGGGACGTCGGTTTAGTTAGTTAACCTTTAGGGTTCGGCCTTGGGTGACCTTATTAGTTTCAGAACAGAGGACCACTACCGGCCTCCCAACGACGAGACGAAGGAGGAGCCGAACTGACGCCTTGGGGCCGTAAACCTTTGAACCTGAACCTTTGCACGTTGACCCTTCCACCCTCACGTGAGCATGTGAGAGCATGGTCTCCCAAAAGCCAACCCCAAACAAGCTCCACTCCCTTTTTCCTATACCCGAAATTTCATTTCCCTAATCTCATCTCCCTAAAACCTACATGCTCTACTCCGTTTTCCTAAACCCTAAACGAGAAGCGCCATCATTCCCGAAAAACACATTATGAACAGCGGAGAAACGGTGCTCCAACCACAATGTACATTCGAATCTCTGAAGAGCTCTGATTAAGTGTTCGGGTTTACGGTTTCGGGATCCGGACGTTGAAATCCAAACCACGAAGCCCGGTGAACCCTTGCCTCCCTGCTGTGAGCGCGAGAGTTGAAACCTAGCAAGGCGGGAGGCACAAAAAACCCTAAACCCTAAACCCTAAACCCTAACTCCTAAACCTGAAACCCTCACCTCCGATACCCTGAGTAGATAAAACCTATTTCGACTGTATGGCCGGGTGGCCTGAACGGCTTGATACCTTTTGCTTCGGGTTTAGGGTTAACTTAACTGGACTGCAGGATTTAGGGTCAATTGGACTTCAGGGTTGAAGGTGAATTAGGTTTCCGGGTGTGGGTCATCTTGGGCAGGACTTCCTCAACCGATTAGCTTACTCAAAGAGCTACTCGGAGAGCCTGCCCCTGAGTCCGATTCTGTCGGGGGCTGCTCGACGCTTCATCCGTGGATGCACGCAATGTCGAGGTCTGAAGAGTTGGTACAGCAACTGACCCCAACAGTATCCCTCTAAAGCTCCTTTACAACTTTGCGGTTACCCCCGACTTATTCTACATTGTGCGGAGGCTATCATTCACAGGATTACAGAGAAGGCAAAGGTCGCTAAAGTATCAAGCGGTCACAGTACCCATGAGCCGTCAAACAGGGTTTGCGGGGTGTTGAGTTCGGGCTCCTTCTGCCAAGTAGCTTTGTATCTCTCTCACCCACACTCCATTCACACATGTCTCCATGCGTTGGTGCACGTATTCTCTTTATCAATCAATCAAGAAAGTACTCTGGTGTCATGTGTGTGTGTATATATATATATACATGTATGTATACATATGTGCCGGCCATATTCCAAGCTCCGTGAACTTGCCAGCTGAACAGCATCTGGTGCTGAGGGTGGCTCTCCCTACGGCGTCAATCACAAGAGAATGGCTTCCGGTCAAAGGCGCTCCGCAACAAAGTCCATTACCCTAACCCTCCAGGTACCTACTATATAGGGTACTAGAGCCCCTAGGGCCCTATATAGTAGGTACCTGGGGGTTAGGGTTACATATAGAAAATATAGATGCACGCCGTTCCATGCTGAATTCACTTCACATGTCCAGCAAGCACGTCACACCGCAAACGCTCGAGAAGCCTTGGGAAGCCTCCCGAAAGCCCTGCTGTACTAGACACACTACGTCACCATTGCCACATCTGAGTGTCGTAGTTGGCATGCTTTAGGAAGAGGAAAGCAGTTGACTGCGGCGGGACCTAGCATTGGAGACGCTTGGACTTGATGTCAGGCTATGCCATGCATGTGACCTTTCAGGATTGAGCGGGGTTTCGATGTAATTACTTCTGGAAAACATTCGGAAAGGACACTGCCCCGGTGCGTAGCGAAATGGTGATGCTTGTATGCATGCATCTTCCTTTGAATGCGAACATGCGAGGCGTAATGGCAGGCAGGCGTGCATGAACTTACACTCGCACCATTCTCAAAGTCGTTTGCCCACAGACCCTAAAGCCCTCAAGACCCTGACACACACACACACACACGCAGACACACACACACACTCTCTCTCTCTCTCTCTTTCTCTCTCTTCTCTCTCTCTCGCTCTCTTCTCTTCTCTTCTCTGGCGATCCGAGAGGACCGGGAGCAGCCCGAGCCTGGAACTCATCCTTTCAGGGCTTAGGCTTGTTGGGTTAAGTTTAGGGTTTAGTGGTGTAGGGTTTAGGTTTAGGGATTGTGGGTTTCGGGGTTCGTGGTGTAGGGTTTAGGTTTAGGGTTTTTTGGGGGTTTTCAGCTTTAGGGCTTGTCGGTTTAGGGGTTTAGGGTTAAGTGGTGTAGGGTTTAAAGTTTAGGGTTTCAGGGTTTAGGCTTTTTTAAGCTTGGGTGTAGGGGTGTAAGGGTGTAGTAGGGTTTATTTCTGGGCAAGAATGACATAGGGGTTGAGAGGTTTGGTGCCAGGGCAGGTGAAAAGCAAGGGGCCGGAGGAGTTTGTACTATGTTTAGGGTTTTTGGAGGGGGTTTAGGTACGTAGGGGCGGTAATCTTATTCCATAGGGCTTTATGGTGCTTGATCGGATGTGGTGAGGGTTTCGTGGCGTGGAGAAGTGTTCTTTTTGAGGGAGAGGGGGTGCCTGCAAGATTAGCACGCATAGTCCTTTGGGCCCGCCAAGGCACCAAGTTGTTTGATAGTTTAGAAACCCAGTGTTAGGTTGCTTGGTGGCCGTGCTTACCGCGACAGCCACCGGATCTACCGTCGAAGAATGCATACGGGGAGCCTTGGAAATTGCGGTGTCCCTTCCACAGCCGACTGCTATCATGCAAAATGTAGTCTGCAGCATACAGGTGACCCTACTTGGCAACAACCCTGTAGCGCGTGCCGCGTTCGCCAATTCGTGACTCTAGCTCTGATGAGCAGTCACGAAAGCTCCACGTCAAGCAGTGATGATGAGAGCCTGACTGAAGATGTGCAATGGGCTGCTCCGGCAGCGCACTTCCAACGGCTTCGGGAGAATTTTTTGCCAGAGTGTTGCGTTCAGTGTGCTGGCAACACATTTACGCCGAACCATCACGCACTAACTCGGTGTGTCAGGTGGCGGCCCATTCGACAGAGTTCAGAAGCAAGCGATAGGCAAAAAACGATGACTGACATTTGATGTGGTTTGTCTCGTTTGCGCCTGAGCATGGGGAACTCGGTGATTAAGCACGACGCTGAAGGCACCCTTTTTATCATGTTTGGAACTTGTAGATGTTGTTGTTCGCTCAGCATCCGAAGAACGGCCTTGCTGAAGGACACCCCAAGCCTTGTACCAGTCATCGAATCCAACTGTTTGCAAGCAAATCCCTGTTCATCTGCGTGTCCTTGACTTGACGGTTGTTAGGTGTTGCTAGATGCACAACTGCTGGGATCAGACGAGGTCGGGCAGTTGAACACCTTTCGACTGCCTTCCTCGCGAATTCGAATCCTTCGCTAGCCCGATATTGACACCCTAAACCCCTAAACCCTAAAACCCTTAGATTCTCTGAACGAGCTTCCTAACTAATATAGGGGCCGTAATAATTGCCTATACTATTTTGGAGGTTCCGAATTTTCACCTATTGTATTTTATACACCAACCCCCAAACCCTAAACCCTAAACCCCCAAACCTACTAAATTCTATCAGGGCCCCTGCGTTAAAGCGTGAGTTGGTTCCCAGGTTCCACCCGCAGACAGGGAGAGGCCCGCTGGTGGCTGGAAGCTCAGTTTTGGGTATTTAGGGTTTGGGGCTTTGGGGTTTAGGGGTTTAGAGCTTTGGGGTTTAGGGTTTAGGGGTTTAGGTCTTTGGGGTTTAGGGCTTTGGGGTTTAGGGCTTTGGGGTTTAGGGCTTTGGGGTTTGGGGTTTTGGGGTTTTGGGTTTAGTGCTTTGGGTGTAGGGTTTAGGGTCTTGGGGGTTTCAGACGGAAAGCCCTTTTTGCATCCCAATGCAATCGCCTATGAAATCCTTAAGATCTCCAGACATCGAAACCTGTACCATTTGGAACGGCAGGCTAGCACAACTTGCACAAGCCCCTTTTCGGTTCTTGCGATGATCTCAAATCCCCAAAAAAAGGTTTGCACGGAGCCTATCTAAGCGTTTACAGCGTCTGACACAGCGCGGTTGCGGTTCTTCTGGATGAGGCGGTTTCAAGAGATCACTCAGCCGTTGTTCATGATGTCGTAATGCTCCAGGTTTCAGCGTGTCTCCTTTAGGTTATGTGTGCCAGCACTTCAATCCTGAAATTCCGTGAATTTCCACCTTGTCACCAGGATTACACGGAATCTGGTTGGGGCCCGGTGACGTTTGTTTGGGGGCTTCAGGGTTGCACGTCTGGGATATCAAGGTCTCTTCCTGGGGTTTGTTCCAGGTCTTTGTGGTTCAGGGAGACCCATCTCGGAATGCCTCACTCTAAACCCAAAGCTCGAGGAACCCTGCATGGCAGCACTGAAATGTCACAACAGATGATCTTTGTTGATCGTATCGCTTTTGGGGGGTCCTATCGCTTTCCAAGGAAATTGGCAAGATCCGGCATTCCACGGCCACCCTACTCTTAACTACAACTACCGAAGTTTTGACGGCTCCCTTTATAAGGCTACCGTACTATATTGGAAACCTAGAGAGGGACCCTAATTTAGAGAACTACCCATCTGAGGAGCGAAACAGGGCCGGCCTTCCAATCGGCGACTTTTTGTACGAGTTTGGCCAAGGGGCTCAGCGTGGGAGTGGGAAGGTTGCGTTTAGTTTAGGGTTTAGGGTTTCGTTCAAGTTACTGCTAGGTTCCCCTTTTTTCGAAACTGATTGTAAACAAGCTGAAATGCCTACGCTGGTGGTTTCCCGACCCGTATTAAGGGAGGATCAGATCTGCAGTTAAAGGATGGGTGGTTTGGTGCCTGGAGGTTCAAGTCTAAGCCCTAAACCCTGCGTCTAAACTTTTTTGGCTACATGTGTCTGCCGAAGCGCGCACTTGAGGCAACCTCGACGTAGATTCGATACGGACGACCATGCCGGGCCATGCCTGTTAAATATGGCGGTCTCCTTAAGTAGAACATGGTTTCGGGGCACACTACACTGTAGCTGTACATAGACGATACTGGGATATTACCACTGTTTAGCCAGACCTGTATGCAAATCTTGCCAGCAGACATTCTCGCGTCTACCCCTCCCTGCTTTTTGTCGCAACTCATGCTCCTACTGTTCCCAACTGAGGTAGTAGTAAGCAAATAGGGTGCACAGCGCTGCCCAGCAGTGCCTCTTGGGCAAGCTCCCGGAGCCCCACAAAACTGACGAGGAGATCAGAACGCTAGCCATGTTCGTTAGGGGCGTCCGACCTCTGCACCGTATAACAGGGGGGTCCTGAAAGTGTTCATCACAAATACGATTTTACTGTCATGTACCCCAAAGCTCTGTTCTACTTAATTAGTCAGGCTCCATATCAGCTCAGTTCAGGAGGTCTGGTTGTTCGCCTTTGCGCATTGAGGTCGGGGCAAAGCAACCTCGGTCACTGCGCAGGTTCCGGGCTTTTCCCTTTGTAGGGTTCGCTGCCCAATACACCCTACAGACCTGTGCCTTAATGCCTCCATCCGTTCTTTCTGAAACTCGAACCCCGAGCAGAGTCTGCTCTCGTAGCCATTAAAAGTGCCGGGCAGCAGCAGCAGCAGCAGCAGCATGCAACAGCATCCGCGATCACAGCGAATGAGTGACAGTCACACTTCTTACGACAATGTGGTGATCGCAAGATGTCCTGCATAAGGCAACTGGTAGTGCTAGCACTGCAAAATCCTATTTTTAGGACGTGCTTCCCGACATATCGTTACCATCGCTGGTTGCTACTACTGCTTAAAGACATGAAGACCTCTTTCAGTTTTAGTGTTGTGTCTTCTTATCTTCTCAAACTCAAAGCCTAGGTTTGCTGTCTTGCCAGGTGCCACAGGACCCCGACCAGTGCAGGCCTTACGGCTGCCGGCCATTCTTTGTCAGCCAGCAAGGTCTCACTATTAGGGTTTAGGACTTAGAAATTATTATTATCATTATTATTACTATTTCTTGTTTTATTATTGTTATTATTGCTATTGTCATGTTATTGTTATCATTCTTATGTGGCTATCATGTTTCTGTTCTTACGTACGTTTATTGGCAGTTGTATTAATACCAGTATGCAACCCTGAAATCCCTTGCTGCCGTTGAATCTGACGGCCGTGACGACGGCTCATGTAGGACTGGAGTTGTTGGCAAGCACGCCGCCACATGAGTAGAGTAGTATTACTATGAGTAGGCCTCAGAGTCGTTATGGTTTTGGGGTGCTGGGGTTTGCAGATATAGGGATACATTTGCGGATTGGTAGCTCCTGGGGGCAGGAGGCTCGTGCGGCCTGACGGCTTACTTTTGTAGCTTCGTTTGGGGTGTGAAAGGAGAGAAGGCCCTAAACCAAAACCCATCCTTGTGAATGGCAAGAACCTTGAATCACAGGCAAAATTCGCAACAGAAGGAACCAAAGCCCAGGCCAAAGCAATAACAAACAAGCTCCAAGTGTTGGTTCCTCAAACCTCCAAGCCTAACTTCGACACCCAGACCCTAGTTTCAATGCCTTCACGTCTGAAAGCGTCCTGAACCGCGAGCTTAAGCCCCGAAATCTCGGAAGCATGCTGACGGCCAGCTGACGCCCTGAACTTAAAACCCTGAACCCTACGGAGGAAAGCTGTAGAGTTCGGATTCCCGCCGCTTCGCCGGCCCTGCAAGTTGAATTTGTAGGCCCTCAGTTCCCTTAAGTTTGGAAGGAGAGACGGGCTCAAAGGCCCTCCGAAAACGTAAAGAGGTCGCCAGCTCCCAAGATGGGTGATAACTTTGATAACTCAGAGTCTAAACCCGAAGCCCTGAGCCCGAAAGTCAGAGGTCGCCAGCTCCCAAAATGGGTGATAACTCAAGACAGCTCTTCGAGGAGCCCGTGCTTGAGCCAAGGCTTCAGAGAGGTTTGGAGCTTCGCGATGGTAGGGTTTCGGGTTTTAGGGTTGTCTCAGGGCTTAGGCTTTAGGGTTTAGGGTTATCTCAGAGAGACCTCGTTCAAAAGGGGCTGAGGGTTGATGGTTCAGGGTTTGGCGTTTATAGGGTTTACCCGTCATTCAGGGGTGAAGAGTAATTTTTGGTGTGTGAAGGCTTTGTGGCTGATTGTCGGAGTCGGGATGGGTTTTAGGGTTGATGGATGAAAGGGCAAGACGCAAGGAAGGAACTTAGATGCGTAGCTGTTGCGAAGTAGAGTTTACAAGGTTTCGGTTTCATGGCACTTTGACACCTGCTGCTGCTGCTGCTGCTGCTGTTGCTGATATGCTGAGTACCGATGCACTTCTGCTGCAGTCGCAGATGCCTGCAGGAGACAAAGAGACGGTCTTACCGGCATCTCTTCGACAGCTTGACAGCGAAGGATCCCGAGGCAATGAAGCCCTGCAGCTGATCCGTGCATTTTCTGAGGTTTCGGGTTTGGGCTCTACACTGGGTCCTTGTCGGATACAATTTTACATTTCTGTTACAATACAACCCCAATAAGGATAAAACATGATCATCTTTAATGTAGCCCAAACAGGGAGCCTGTATAGGGATGAAGCATTCACCATTTCTCTCAGGATTTGGGATGAGGCTCGGGGTCTGCTATGAAGACTGCATACCCACTAGTATCATCGTAGCTGCTACTGTAGCAGCACCAGAATGCCAGCCCGAGCACAGGCAAGCTGAAACCATGCGTTAGGGTGGACTGTGAGCCTTGCAGACCCTAAAACCCATGCCATAATGAGACATATAGACGATGTCCCCCGCTTAAAAAAAAGGGGCGCGCCGGCCACGCATCCTAAACCAACAGGGCTGAAGTTCCCTACTTCTCTTTGGGTGTATAGGAGACATGGGCGGTTTGGGTTCCGCAATCCCATCGTAGCGCTGAACACCCTTAAAACCTTAAGCCCTAGGAGGCCGTGCATGGGCCCATCACCAAGAACCTCAAAGGCCCAAACCCTGAACTCTAAACCTCCAACCTCTAGGACCCTGTCTAGGGTTTAGGGCTTAGGGCCTGGGAGTGATCTCGAAAAGTCTTGGAAGTGTTTTCAGCTCAACCGACCACGCACCCAAACCTGGCCTGGCTTCTCCGAGTGTGAGCGCCGCAAGCCTAAACGACCGAAGCGATGCCTGCCCTGTGCGAGTGAGTCGAAACCCCCAAACCCGATGCCAATGAAGCCTTGAAAGATCAGGGTCCTTGTTGGATACAATTGTACATGTTTGTTGTAATAAAAACCCAATGAGGATCAAACATGATCATTTTTAACATAGCCCCAACAGGGAACCAGAGATGATGCTTTTCCCGAGACTTAAACCATCCCAAGAACCCAGGAAAGGTTTAGGGTTTCGGAGGTCTGGTGAGGCCTCTAAGAACTGAGCCCCAAAGCCTTAAGACCTGTCTACGACATGAGTTGATGTAGACTCCGGATTGCTCTAGTAAACACCCTTCTTCAACGGCCTGTATTGGGATGCCAAATATAATCCTTATTAAGGGAGGGGGTTGAGCCAGCAAGCGTCTATCTATCAAGCGAAACAGAGCCTGAAGCCCAATCCTCCACCGACATGAAGAGACCCTCCCTAATCCCAAAACCCGACGCCCAAAAGCCCCAAACCCTGCACCCCAAACCCCCAAAACCCTTAACCCCAAACTTGAAAGGGCCAGCTGGCAGCGGACACGATCACCTTGGACGGCTCCTTCCTCAAGTTTGCTTGCCCTAAGAGCCCCATGCACCCAGATTCTACACTACAGGCATAGTCCCTAAAGATTTTTTTTTTAAGGACCCTCTTTAAGGCGAAAGTCTATACTATGTACAAGGTGCACGGACACTTCTACCCTAACCTCTAAACCTTCGTGGTACCCTTAAAGTACGCTGGAAGGAACCCAGACATGATGGTACTCTCAGAGTGCGTTTGAAGGATCCCTTTTTTTTATATGGTACCCTTAGAGCACCCCTTGAAGGACATGCATCTAGGGTTTAGGGTTGGAGGTTCCACCTCGGGCTGGGGAGTTTGGGGTTTGGGCTAGGTCGAACTCCCGGGCTCCCAATGGCCCACAGCAGACCCTAGGTTTAGGGTTTAGGGTTTAGGGTTTAGGGTTTAGGAACCTAATGGTTACTGTCAGTTGGTTTTTGTCTTTAATTTGCCTGTTGGGATTGCATAGGTCCCTTGACTTCCGGTAGCAGTTGCCCTCGAACAGTCAAACGAGCTCCCTGCGCTGCGACATAGTCAGCTGGGCGGGTGGGATAAAATGGTTACTTTAGGATTCCTGTAAGGATAATGTTTTTTTTGTCCAGGTGCCTTCTCAGCCGAAACACACGCTTCGGGGGTAGATGATGGCAGAAGTATTTAGAGACTCTAAGAGGACATCAGGACTTGTTATGTTCGGGTGTGTGCAGTAGTATAAACAGGCTTCAGACGCGCAAGTCCGCTTAGGTAGGTATTTTGGGTATGCAACTGGTGGGCGTTGGCGCCGGAAAGGTTGAAATCTGCGGTTTCCCATAGATCTCGAATCCTCAACCCCGAACCCTGCAAGAGTTCGGCTCAATTCGGTCTCTCCAGCTGGCACCTTGTAAACCTGAAACATGTTAAGGCTACATGCTAGGATTTCTTTCGGATGGTTGATTGTTTGAAACTCCTGTTTATCAAAGCTTACCCCCCGAAACCCCTGTTTATCAAAGCTTACCCCCCTAAGCCCTAGTATCTAAACCCTTTAAAAGGTCTGGATGCAGACTTGTGCGAGTTCTTGCGGCCCTTGGCCGGGTCCTCAAAAGTTTCAGGTTTCCAGGTTTAGCTTAGTTCTCCAATACCCAACCTTTAAACTTTTGAGGTTTTTGTTTAATCTAGTAATAAGCTGAAAGTTTAACGGTTTATTTCCCTGGCTTATTGGAGAAGTAAGTTTGGGTTCTTCAAGAGGGTGCCTTTTTTCCGGGCTGGTCCCCTAGGGATCTATGTAGAGCATTTTGAGGACGGAGTTTAGGATCGGGAGTGCTAAGCCGAAGCTTTGCTCTTAACGGTTCCCTCAAACCCTAGCCCTTCTGAAAGAACCTCAACTGGCAAGTGCGAGTGTGAGAGCGCGGATCCTGAGCTTAAGAGCTTTAGGCCTGGCTTGGCGACAGGGTTTATGCTTAGAGCCGACGACTCTCATCGGATGAGAATCGTCACTAGCAAGAATCTCGTCGCCGCTGGGATTTAGAGTCTAGGAGTTTAGGATATACTACACCTATATCCGGCATAGGGACGCAGGACCTTAAAGTCTCAAGCTCAACATGAAACCCAAAGCCTTGAAGAACCGACGCCTTCACGTGCTCTTCTGCTCCGAGGCATCTTTCTTGGAGGCCACGGGCAAGCGCATAGACTTCTCTGCCTTCGGCGCGCTCCCCAGATATGTCGAGTTACTTCCCAAAACCCTAAACCCCTATGTAAACCCTAAACCCCTAAACCCTAAACCCAGAGCAGCCCCTAGTACAAGATCTGTGTGAGGCCCAGAGGAGGGAGTAGGGTTTAGGGCCTCAGACCTTCACTTCCAGAGGGCAGTGTGGACCCAAAAGCCTTATCCAAGCCCAAAGACCCCCAACGGCCCTAGACTTTGAAGCCCTGAGTTCTGAGCCCTAGACCCCAAAAACGCCTTCAGTCTAAGACCCAAGACCCTGAACCCTAAACTCTATAAGCCTCATAGACCCTAAACCCTGAACCCTAAACCCCAAGCCTTATAAACCCGAAACCTACCTTTTGACACGAAGATCCCTCTGAGACATGACTAGCCCAAGGTGCTGCCATGGACCTCCAGCGTCAGCAGGCCAAAGGGGCATCTGGGGCCCAGCATCGGGGCCTTAATTATTGGGGCTATTGTACGATAATTATCATAACCCCACCATAGATTTGGTGGGGTATATTATACTATGATTAGAATCTGGAGCCCCTATTGAGGCCTCTATCTTACATATGTTCAGGGTTTAGGGCTTAGCGACGCATGACCGCCAGAGCTGCTGGTCCGACATGAAGCCTTACGCGAAGGTTTTGGGTTCAGGGCGCTAGTGCCTTAGAGAAAGAGGCAGAGAGAGGGCGAAAGAGACAACGCAAGCTACAAACAAAAAGAACGAGCGAGGCAGGCGGAGGAGGGAGATTAGTGATTAGGGGGTGTGGCTTTGTGGCTTCAGGGGTGTTGCCAGAGAGCCCAAATGCCACCCAGAAATAGCGGATTTGGGGTTAGGTCGAGGTACCACCAGCACCCAAACCACATTCTCAAGCTCGAGAGCTGGAATCTTTAAAACTTGAACTCTTCGTCGACTTCGCTCCAGCCTACAACCCGAAGGTCAATCAAGCCTCCGCCCCCAAGAAACTTATCACTCCTTACGGTTACTATTCTCGTCACACAGGGTTTTTTTCCTGTAGGGTCGGGAGGGCCGAAGAGCTGTGCCCAAGCCCATGACGGACCTCAGCTCGGTTCGGGTTTCGACGCTGGGGTCTCTGAAAAGTAGGGTATGATTCAAGGGGTCCTGAGTTTCTGAGGATCTTGTTCGATGAGGTTCTAGATCAGGGACCTTTGTTTTCTATCTCTCCAGCATCTGAAAGGCCGTCACGCCTACAGCCCACCTCTTCGCGCGGAATGCGGCTAAGAACGGCAAGGTGAAGGCACCCATTCGACGAGTTGTCAGAGAATGTTGGGAAAAAAACTTCTGCGAAGTCATTCACCCAACATGAGATTTCAAGAACTGCGGGAGTTGGAAAAGGGCAGGCCAAGAATCACGAAGAGGCTTTAGGGTTTAGGGTTATCATGAACCCAAAGCATCATCCCTTTTGCAAGCATTCCTGAAGCGCTGCAATGCTGTTGCTCCCCGTATTTGGTTAATAATTCGTACACCGCAACCCTTTTCTGCTTGTTGAGGCCCTTTCTTGATCAGTCCGGAACATAGACCAGCTGGGCTAGGCCTTCTTGGCAGGATGCCAAAACTTGATGTAACCCTAAACCCCTAAACTCCTAAACCCTAAACTTTACCCTAATCAACACTGCAACCGCCAAGGGTCCCAGACCAAAGCTTATAGACCCAAAGCAATCGAAAGAGATGCTCTGACTTGGCCTCAGGAATGCCAAGCGCAGCCAAGTAAGTAGGAGTTGGGAGTTTGGGGGTTTGAGTCTTAAGGTTTCAGGGCCTGCCCTCATGAGAGACCGTGGGTTCAGGTCTTATTCAAAGGCTCCGAGGGCTCTTTACTTGCTCTCTTCACCGGTCTTCATGTCCATGGTGCGCGCATCGCAGGAAACCGCAACCCCCCGCCGGGTAGATGGTAGGCTTAGGAGTTGTAGCAAGTCATCAGTCATCAGGCTTCAGAGGGCCTAGAGCCTAAGAGGTTTAGGGTTGATAGGGTTTAGGGGTTATAGGGTTTAGGGTTTATAGGGTTTAGGGTTTAGGG